CGTGACGTGGTCAAGGCGGTCAAGGACGGAGAGGGCATCAAGCCGCACGCACTCGTTCTCCTCAAGGTGCCCACCCCACCCCAACTACCATCCACCCCCACCTCACACGTCGCTGACGGCTTCCTCTCCCCACCTGGCTGGAAGGCCCGCGCCATCCACAACACCACCCACGCGGTGTGCGCGAGCCCTAGCGCGAGCCAGCGCTGACGCCGTGAGGGGAGAGCGCGCGCCACGCGCAATACGTATCCAATAAATATGAAATAAAAAATCTCACAACAGGGGATGGATATCTAGTAGATTAAATCTAGGGGACCTCCCGGGCTCGCTGCATGTGTCATCCCGCGATCCCCCCAAACCTCTGAAAAACGCGCCTAGCATGGGGGATTGGGGGTGTCCACGATTTTGTGCCGCCGGACGATCAACGAAAGGCACGAGGGTGCACATCATACCTCGCGGTTAGAGGAGCCCCAGCGACGGGCCGTATGTCAGTGTTGCCAGCTGTTCCTCCCGCGGCAGGCACAATATGGTGTGAGCCAAAGCCTTCATCATTCGCGCCCAACGCGGCGCCGGGCTCGACCGGTTGTCCACGGCGTTGTCGGTGACTCCCGGCCCAACCCCCAAACTCTTGGTCACGACGTCCAGCTCTCTCCCATGGCGCGCCGTTAGGTCCAACTTTAGTGGCGACGCGCGAGATTCGCAGTCGGACGAGTCGCAGTCGGTGCCATCGCTCAGCTCGCCGCCCTTGAGCGAGCCCGCGCTGCGCCGGCAATGTGGATGGTCGGGCGTGGCGCGGCGTTTGCGCCGCCGCACGTAGGCTGCAGCGGCCAAGAGAGCGACGCTCAACAGCGACACTGGCAGCACCAGTTCCTCGTGGACGAGGGAGTGTGCTAACGACGGCGGCGGCGGCGGCGGCGGCGGCGGCGGCGGCGGCAGGTGCCCTGGCGGCGGCGGCGGCAACGAATCGAGCCATTTCCAGAGGTCGTCGAGCCACTCGGGCGGCGGCGGTGGCGTGGGTGCCGAGGGCGGCTCGAGGCGGAGGGAGGCGACGCTGCCAACCTGGATGTTCTCGACCCGCATGTCTCGTGAGTGGATTTCGTCCGCAAAAAGCTGGGATTGGAGGACCGCGAGCACGTCGCCCATCTCGACCTGTCGCGAGGAGATGGAAACCGCAAAGCCGCTCCCTCTCCGAAGCAGCCGCACCGCCGCCGGGTCGACCTCGGGCGGCAGGGCGGCCTGAAGGACGGTGGTCAACTCCTCCGACGTGACGTTGGAGTCGACTGGCCTTGCTGGGACCTGGAGCAGCACGCGGCGACCCGGCCTTGCTGGGACCAAGTCGAACGTAATCTCGACGAGCCTGGTCGTCCGGGCAGTTTGGCCCTTGGTCAGCTGCCCGGTCTTGTTCACCTTGCCCAGGTCTGCTAAGGCCAGTGGGACGGCCGGTGGCGGGGAAGGACCGGGACAGTCGTTTGGCATGGCCACCCAGAGCGCAGTTAGTGCGAGGCAAGCGCCACAAAATGCAGCTCGTGGGAACGAGCGAGCAGTGCGTCCGCCAGCGATGTCAACCTGCCGTGCCAATGCCGGCCCGTCGTAGTCCTCTCCACTAGTCCGGCGTTGCTGTGCATTGTCAAAGGACTCGGCCAGCCACCGCCTTTGCACGGCGCGTGGTGTGCCCTCCTCAGCGCTCGGAGGCGTGGTGGAAGCGAGCTCCACCACGCGCTGCCACCGTAGAAGCGTCGGTGTACTTCGGTGTGTCCTCGCTCTTTCGCCGTCGCCTAATGGACGGCTCTCGAGGTCCATCTCCGGTTGCCGAAGCTGCAAGGCCTCAACAAGGCGAGCCGCTGAATTCTGGTGCACGTGAGAAGAATTTTAATGATGCGGTTCTGATCGCACTGAAATGGCACTCCGTTGGCGCGCACTGGCACTAACACAGGCAGGTACGTGCGCACCACGAATAACGAGAGAAAGAAGAAAGCCACCCGCCTAACAAATGCAGGCCTGTCTGTGCGGCGCGCCGAGGCGGCGCCGAGGCCGGCGCCTTGCACCCGGCCCGCGGCCGGCCGTCCGCCTCGCCCCACCACGCTGCGCGCGCAGGGCGTGTGTGCAACTGCATGGCGCTGATCCCCACCCCTGTCGTCCGCACACCTGCCCCCCCCCCCCCTCTGAGAGAAGTTTTTTTTGTCCCCCTCTGTGTGTGTGGGTGTGTGTGAGCACTTGGAGCACTTGGAGTGCAGTCGGTAACCTCACATCCAGGGCCGGGGAGCTCAGAAGCGCACCCAGCGGGCCGGATGATCGGGATCGGGTTGCGGGCAAGAGAGCCCTAGCCCTGGGGGGTGCGCGGTCGCAGGGCCATAACACGGGTCTCCGAGGGATAGCTCCGCGCTCCGGGTTTCCCCTAGCAGCAGAACGCACCCTCTACTCAGAGCTAGTAATACGAGAATACTCTCCGAGGGTTAGCCCCGCTAACCAGGTTTCCCCTTAACTGCAGCACGCCCCCTCTACTCGGAGCTAGTGATACGGCAATACGTACCGCCCCCACGCAGTACCTGTACTACTCGACGATAATACAAGAATACGCATCTTGGAAGTTGCAGACGCCTATAAAGAAAAAACAGCTCGCTAAATTTCGGCGGCTAAAAAGCAAAGGACGGGCGCTTTTGATCGGCAAAGCAAAGTTGGAGTAACGGCGACCGCGTCGCCACAATGCCAGTCGCCTGTCGAGCAGCCTTGGCGGCGCGCATGCGCCGCAGGGTTGACCGACAGCCACGCGCCTCGAGCCTCTCGCTCCACTCGCGGCACGACGCACCCCGCGCGCCGGTCAGCGCAACAGGAGTATTGCGACATGCTGCACAACGCCAAGGACAGCACTGAGAAGCTGGCGCCAGTCGCCCACCAGCATGTCTCAGCACCGGGTGAGGGAGCATGCTGCGCACGCTGATGCAGCACGTGGTCACCACCAATCAGGCCCTCACGCCACTGCACGGCCGCCCTCGAGCACCAGCAGCCGCGCTGCGCCATGCTCAAGCTCAGGAGGCCACCCTGCTTCTCGCAGCTTGTGCAGCGCAGCGAGCGAGCAGCGCCGCACCCGGCGGACCCATGGCGTACTCGGGTAGCACATTGTGTAGCGCGAGAAGTCATCTACGAATACCGCCAGGTAGCGGTAGTTACCGTCGACGCTGGCGGGGAGTGGCCCGAGGAGGTCCGAGTAGACTAGCTCCCCAGGGGCGTTTGACTTCTCGTAGCGGGGCGCCTTTTTAGTCTCGGCTGTTCGGCGCATTCGTGCTTGCATACAGATGCTACACGAGTCCCGGTGGCGTTCAGCCTGCTCTCGGCTGAGATTGAATTCGCACCCTGTCGTGAGGGCGGGCAGCATGAGCATTGTCGACGCGGGGATATGCCCATAGCGTCTGTGCCACAGCTGGGCCGCGTATGGCAGGGTAGGCGCAGTGGATAGCTGTTGTATAGGCATTATTGGGCTCGTGATCGGGGTTGAAGCCGATCCGGATCTCATGTCGCGTCCAGGGCGGATCAGTATCCTGGAGATGTCCCTCGACGTGTCCAAGGGGACGCTAACACCATCGATGCGAAGAGTGTCGATGGGGCGGCCATTCTTGGTGCCGGTGGTGATTGTGGATCCCTGGAGTCGCCTGTCGCGAAACAGCGACAGGATGTTGGCGCCGAAGTCGGGCACATAGTAGCCAAGTCGGCGGACTTTCACCCAGTAACCTTGATCGGTTTGGACTTCGAATTCGAAGGGGCCGTACGACTTGGCGCACTCCGAGGTCCCAACACCAGTCTTCATTCGGACTTGCGTGGGGCGGTGCAATTCGGGTTGCACCACAAATTCGTGGGAGTTGAATACGATACTCGCATAGGGGACGCGTGCTAGCTGACTGTAGCCAGCTTCCCGGCCTCCGGCGTGTCTACCGGGAGCCTCCCGGACCATCGACCTCCCGCACCGTTTAAGCGTTTAAGACCGTTTGAGGAATTGGCGGCCCAGCAGCTCTTAAAACCGGCCTAGGCCGGTTTTAAGCCGTTTAAGCCGCAGGCGCCCCAGGGCCCACCCTTTTAAGCCTAGGGGTCCCCTAAGGGTACCTACCTGTTGCAGGGCCCTTTTGGGCGACACAAGACCAACCTACCTACCTACCTATCTGGGAGGGGCCAGCCAGTGGGCACAGACCCCCTATCCGGCTAGGAGCCGGAACCCTGGGAACGGGAACTGGCCCGCACACTCGCTAAGAAGAACTGGCGGGAAGACCTGGGGAAGACTCGCTAAGAAGAATTTTACAACAAAACTCCCTCGCACAGACTCTCTCTAGATCCCGCCGTTCTAACTGCCATGTCACGGCCGGTCGGCTGCTGCTCCCGCCTCGCTGGCGGCGCGGTCTAGTGCCGTTGCTCCCAGCTCTCCGGTGTGGGCTCGCGGCGGCTCGCCGCCGTGGATCTGAACAATATAGTCGGTCCGGGTTCGTCCCGGCGTGCCGCCAGTGCCGCTTCTTGAGTACGAGTAGCCTCGCCAGGCTCTCTGAGACGGCCTGCAGGGCCGGCGCGGACCGCCTCGGGCACGATGGCCCTCCTCAGTACCTACCTCTTCGATGCCTGTCGGCTCTCCAATCTCGTCGCCGGCGGCAGGCCCGCATGGCGCGCTGCTCGATGGCAGCCTGCTCAGTACGCCTTAGACAGTGACTTCTGCCTCGCTGCTCTTACTGCAGCCGCCTCCGGGGCCGGCGCCAGCCGCCTCGCTTCGCCAGTGCTGCCTACGCCTGCGACACGCGTGTCGGCTCGCCGCCCGCGTCGCCCGCGGCGGGCCCGCATGGCGCGCCGCTCGTCGGGAGCATTCCCAGCAGGCTGTGGAGGGCAGTCTGCCTCACTCAGGGCGCCGCCGCTGCTGCGCGGGGCCGCCACCGGCGCTGCTGCCGTGAACGCTGCCGCCGTGTACGTCACCATCGCCTCTCTTCGTCGCCGAACTCGCCGACGCCGCTCGCCGCTCGCCGCCGCCCTGCCTTGCCCTGCCCTGCCCTCGCACAAACAAACCAACACACACACACACACACACACACACACACAACTCCTTGCCCCCGCGCCCTCCCGCCTCACGCCCTGCGCCTCACGCCGCGCAACCCACGCACGCCCCACGCCCCGCGCCCCCACGCCCCTCACCTCGCGCCTCACGCCTCCCTCCCCACCCTCTCAGGCATTTCCCCTCCCTGCTGCTCGCCGACTCCCCCTCCCCCCGCATGATCGACGACTACCCGTCCTTCAGCGACTCCTCCCTCTTCGGCGCCAACGCCTACTACCCGTTCGGCCCGGTGAGGGGCGGGAGCGCAGCCATTCCAACGGCTGGGAAAGTTTCTGAACGGCCGTGCATGCGCCTGCATGCCGGCTTACTAAGGAGGTCCCTCGCTCCCGCTCCTCTCTCGGAAGACGCGCGCCGGCCAGGGGGACTCGCTTGCGATCCCGCTCCAGCCAGAGGCCGCGTGAGGCGTGTGGGACGGTGTACGCTGGGGCTTGGCCCCAAGTGCACTGGCCTCGCGTCTCGAGGGGAGGGCGGCTCGTAACTGAGGTTCGCCGTCAGGGACAGTCGTCCTCCCCTCCCTCCGACGTCCTCTACGAGGGGGGGACTCCGAACGGCCGAGCATGCCCTCGCATGCCGGACAACTAGGTAGGTCATATTGACCTCCCCCCCTCTCCGAGGGCAGAGGCTGCCGCCTCTCGGATACTCGGCCATTCCAACGGCCAGGCCGCTCGCTTAAGGCTGATAGGCTAGACGAGCGGTCTACCTCCAACGGGGCGGTCTGGATCACGGGGGATGACATCCTGCCTCCCGGCACGCCGGGAGGAGGTGGGTGCTCCGCCGCCGGACCGCCCTCTCCACCACCCTCGCCCAGGGATCTACAACGCTGTCTTAAGGTCCGACAGGTTCGGCACCGGGCACCGCCTCGGTATACAAAATGCGCCTGCGGGCGGACCCTCACAGATCACCATCACAGTATCTAGATAGTGAGCGTCGGGCTGGTGGTCGACACCGAGTTTTTGCGCAAAGACAGGCTGCCCGGGGCGCAGCCATGTCTGCGGAAGTCCGGCTCGTCCGGCTCGACGGCGCAGAGCGGCTCGCAGCGGTGCAGGCGTATGAGGAACGGTGCTCCGCGCTGGGCTGCGCCGCGCCGCAGGCCTCGCGCTACCGAGCTTTCGAGGAGCTGCTGCGGCATGGCTTCCACGGCGAGCCACGGCCGGTCGAGCAGGGAGGTCTGATGAGCCCGGGCAGCAAGTGGTTCCCAAAGCTCCGTGCCCTCCGGGACGCGATTGCCACTTTCGAATCGCGGGGCGGAGACTTTTTCGACGCGCTGCTGCCGGCAGCGCTTCGGTCCGCATGCGACAAAATGGTGCCGTCTTCGTTGCCGACGGCAGGCCGTGTCTCGGTGCCGAGGCGGCACGCGACGAGCTACCTCTGCAACGCTCTCCTGCTCAACGCGCCGCGTGGCTCTCCTCTCGACTTCCTCGGAGGCGGCGCCGACCCACTCTTCGCCTCGACTGCGAAGATTGCGCCGCACAAGATCTCGTGCCTCCTCGCCTATCTGCAAGTCACAACCTGCGCCCGCGGCCGCCTCGCCCTCGCCGCCGCACCGCCCGCGGTCGCTCTTGAGCGCAACTCTGCGAGGAGCAATGCCGCAGGCGAGGGCGGCGAGGGAGGCGGCGGCGGCGGCGGCGGCGGCGGCGGCGAGAGGGGCAGCGGAAGCAGTGGCGGCGGCGGCGGCGAGGGGGGCAGCGGAAACAGTGGCGGCAGCGGCGGCGAGAGGAGCAGCTGCAGCGGGGACGGCGAGGG